AGTCGGCGTAGATCTGCAAGCAAAATTGCGAATAGAGATATCGTCATCACCAAAGCACGTCTTACGGGGAAAGAAATGCAGCGCGACCAGGGGACTAGCCATTCAGACGCCAGAGGAAAAGGAAGAACTGGAACGATTTCTATCTACTATGGAACGATTCCTACTCTGGAACGATTCCTATCTATAAAGACAAGCCAAAGCTCTTTCTTCTAGATCCTGCATAACAATGTCAACTAAAATCGGCGAAAGAGGGGAACCCATAGGTGTGCCAAAAACTTGTTTGTAAAAAACATCATTAAATTTGAAGAATGTTGAGCAGAGAACCAATTTTAATCCAGACAAAAATTCGTCGTGAGAGATATCGATCTTATTGTTGAGAAAATGCCAACGTTTGGCAACACCTCCCACAACAAAATCAGTCGGAACATTAGTAAAGAGAGAAACTACGTCTAAAGAAATCAATTTATAACCGTCTTCAATGTAAGTCCCTCTCAGGTTGTTAACCAATTCGAAGCTGTTTCTTACATAGCTCTTAGTGCTGTTTCTTACATAGCTCTTAGTCCTGTTTTTTACATAGCTCTAGGTTTAGGAAGATGTTGATACAATATGTTTATATCGACTTTATATCTGTTTATATCGACTTTATTGCGACTTTGATCTACGTTTTGTTTTTATAATTTTCCGTTAATTTGAATTTTCCTTTGTTAGACAATGATAATGATCCGAATGGGATTGAAACGTACGTCCGTCGTTTTAATTAAGCGTCAACTGATTATTTTTATATGATCATGTATTGACTTATTTTATATTTACTTATTTAAAAATTCTTTCTCTTTTAATTGTAGCTACCATTAACTTAGCGCTGTGGTTTTTTTGCCTTTTTTCACTATTTAATTTGATAATATATTATGATCGACGCAATGGATGACATGATAATTTTTATGAAAATAAATAGGAAAGGATGCATGCGACCATGTTTACAGATATGGAGATGTGGAGAAATGGAGAAATTGAGATATGGAGAAATGGAGATGTGGAGATGTGGAGAAGTGGAGATATGTCAACTCGAGACTGCATTGAAGTTATATTTTTAATTTAAATTGAACTGTTTTGGGAAACAATCATAATATATTATGATCGACGCGATGGATGACATGATAATTTTTATGAAAATAAATAGGAAAGGATGCATGCGACCATGTTTACAGATATGGAGATGTGGAGAAATGGAGAAATTGAGATATGGAGAAATGGAAATGTGGAGATGTGGAAAAGTGGAGAAGTGGAGATATGTCAACTCGAGACTGCATTGAAGTTATATTTTTATTTTAAATTGAACTGTTTTGAGAAACAATCATAATATATTTCGATCTACGCGATAGCTGACTTGATAATTTGTACAGACATATATAGAAAAGGATGCTTTCGACCATGTTTACATGAGTATACAGATATGCAGATGTGGAGAAATGGAGAAATGGAGATATGTAAAAATGGAGAAATGCCGACTCGAGACTTGCGACGCCTTTGCCTGCCTCGAGAACGCCGATCCGGAGGAGGCGGCGTGCAAATTTCTCTTTTTGGCCGATAGAAAAGAAACAGTTAATTTGCTTTAAAAGAAACGGTATCCAAAAATACGGTATCGGTATCTGAGAATGCGGTATCTGAAAATACGGTATCTAAAAGTACGGTATCTCGCAGCTCTCCGAGCAGGAGAGCGGTATTGGGCGCCAGGCGCAGTCTCCCGCGCCACGATATCGGTACGGTAACGAAAGGGGTTTCGGTAACCCAGAGCTCAGTATATGGCAGAGGGGCAGAATTCTTTGTAAGTTAGAGAGAGAACGCTAAATAACTCTCGAGAGAGAGAGAAATGGTCGACACTCACCTTGGTTTACTTAAAATATATTTAACAATTATTTTACATGGATAAAGTGTATAACAGAGACGATAAGAATATAATGGAAAAGATTATATGTGGAATATACACAAATAACAGAGCTTGATAATAGATATAAACGTCAAAGAAAGGACAAAAGAAATATGATCTCTATGCGAATAATACAAAGGTCGATTATAATCGATACGGAAACAGACACATATAATACGCGCGACTAAGAGATAATTATGATATCGGAACGAGAACGAATATAATGAATTACGAACAGTGATGAGTAAAGTCAATCGGTAATTTACAGAGAAGTAAACTATAACGACAAAATATAACAATACGGATATGATTTCGGAAATTGCCAAGAGGCACAAGCCTCATAAAAAGTCGCGATATAAATCGAATCAGACTTCATATAATAGTCGACGGTAACCTGCGGTAATCAATTCAAACGTAAGACACCAGCTGTATCCGGGAAAATATTACTGCTACCTGTTCGTCGGCTTACAATAGCATTGCGATGGCTGGTGCGATGGCCGGGATCTCTTTCCAGGTCGTCCTTTCGTTTCGATAGCTCCTCGAACAGTAATTTCTGATTTCCGTTCCGCGAGGTTCTCGAGTCCCGCGCCGATTTTCCGCGTATTACGTCGATTTTCGATGGGAAAAGATCGATGCTTTCAGTCCCCATCGATCTCGTTCTGCTGCATGACGGGTTGCTCCATGCGAGGAGTCAAATTCTGACGTTGACGGTATCCTGAACGGTATTCTATCGTCGATAGATCGGACGTGTCGGGCTGGCCAGGCCTCATCCTCGTCCGTCTACCGATGCATCTTCCTCAGTCTGCAACCTAGGAGAGTGTTCGCCGCTCCTTCGTCCGGATTTTCCGTCGTCGCTTTCTAAAAGTAACAGATATTACTCAAGGGTTACATACGAATAGCGGTGGGATCTCGATACATAACCTGTGTTGGAGCGGAAGCGTTGATCCGTTATCTTCCTCTTCCTCTCTTCGGTAACTTCCTCCTCCGGTATCTTGCTGCACATTATTTTACTGTCCGCTCGCTCAGGTTGCCGCACTCGGTTCTCGTAAAGTTAATCTCGAACAACAAAAATCTACAAGAAATATCGCGGGATCGGATACGGAGGTCCCCCTCAGATCCGAGGGACGATCCCTTCGCACGCTTCCTTCTTCCGGTAGAGTCATCGTGACGGAGCCTAACTGGCGTCACGTCACACACTATATCAAAACTTTCCCAACTTTTCTCTTGCGTGTCTCTCGCGAACTTCTAACAAAAATCATTAATAATTCGATAATATAAAAGTTATAAGAATTTATATTTTAAATTTTAATTTAAAAAAATGATATAAAGTTCAAGTACTTACACAGTCGAATCATTAATTCAAATATTATCTAACGTTTCATTAGAAAACAGAACTTCCATTTCCATCTAATAATTGTTCAAATTCAGATAATTTATCTACTTCTTCATACATTCTTTCAAATTCCTTTTGATCCGACAGATCGCCTCTACTAAGATAATTTCTTCTTCTAAAGTACTTCTTATAAAATCTACTTTTTCTGTTTTTTCACATAGCAACTTATTAATCGCATAACAATAGCGTAGCATAATTATACAATAATAAAAATATTTTTCTAACACATTATTAACCTATTAATATAAACGATTACCCGTGATGACAGCCGATTTATACTCTGAATATATATTCATAATGAGAGAGAATCGAGACAACCAATCAGTATCGCAGCAACAATACATGCGAGAATCGATTTAACATGCCTTTTTTAATAGTGGATTTTATTTATATAACGATTAAATTGTTAACACTCAATAATTTTTATAATAATACGAATTTATTTGCGAAATTTTATGTACTAATGTAATACAAAATTTTATGTATGTGAGAGCTCAATACTACCCCGGCGCGATCGTTAAATAAGTCCCGCTGGGGGTGTGCATAAGGAGCATTTTCCCCATGTAAAAAAAAAAAGAATTGTTAAGGCTATTAGGTAATCATTAAAATTTTTTTAATATTCCTTTAATGCTAAAGAAAATATATTAAAATTCCAATAATCTTAGGGATTAATCATCGCTAATCTTGTCTGGACTATGTAAAAATTTTTAGTAAATTTTATATTATAAAATATCCATACCTGAGAACAAATGTTCATAGAAAGTATTCCGATGGACTCTATAGGAAGGAATAAGCATGACAAGTGATGGAATTTTTTATGATGTTAACACAAAGGAATATAATAAACCATAATCCAAGAATTCGAAGAAGAGAATATATTGGATAGAAATGCATAGTGATTGGAAATGATTAGAAAGTAAAAGACAGTACGCATATAACCTATTTATTAATAGTAATACTATTTTGTAATTATATTAAATTTTATAATTTAATACATTGTATTATATAAAGAATTAAGCACAAAAGTATTATGCTGGTATGAAAATTATAATAAAAATATAAAAATATATATAGTGTTAGCATATGAATTCTTTATATTTTATATAAAAAAAGAGACTTAAAATATTTGCAACATCTATATTTTTCGAGTCTTAATTACGAAAACTTTAGAGGAATTAGTAATTAATTTGGCAAATTACATACATATAATAATTAGATTTTTAAATAATTAAAAAAATGATTAATAAATATCAAAGATCAGTTTACTGATAATTAAGAAGATTTATAGAAATACGATTAAAAATGTTTTTATCCCACAGCAGGCATTTTGTGTTTTGTAAATAAAAAGATATAAATATGACAATGAATATAGAAAAATATTTATTTCAAAAATATTTATTTCTTTGAATATTACAGTATCTTTCGCGATTGAATAATTTATTTACTATCAATTTACATACATAAAAATATCTTGTCATACAGCACTGATGCTACCGATATTTCGTGCACATAGCACGGAACAAAACCAGAAATTATGCATATTATATGTTATCCTCTGAGAATATTTATGTATTTTGGCTTTGTAGTTCATGTCCACGTTTTCAATATCCATAGAGGGAGTATCGCTTTCAGAGATCACCTAAAAGCAGGCCATGACATCTCTCAGTCTTCTCTCTGGTTTCCAACGACTATTTGACCTATAATTTTGACAGGAAACTGTCAGTTTACACACAATCGAGGAGAACATAAATTTATATCTTATATCTTTAATAAAAGTGGAAGAAAACAGTATGGGTTTGTGTTTTTTTTACGTATAAATTATATTTTTTCAATTTCGTGAAATCTTGTACTATGACAAATGTAATTAATAGATATTGTCCATGCGAGAAATATTGTAGCAATTTATTTAGTTAAAATTATACATGTTGAAATAAATTTTTCAAATAGATGAATCAAGTTTGTCGAGTCCAGAAGATGAGAAACGAATATCGAAAAATGGAGAACATGGTTTGTTCGACGAAGCAATCGGACATATCGAAGATTTATTATTAGGTACAAAATTATTTACAAACATGAACAATTATTAAAATGATAAAATTGTATATTGACAATGGTCTTTCAGAGGAGAATTTTCAGGCTCTTCAGCAAAGATTTTTAGAAAAATACTGGAATGTTTTTGAACCAGTGGAAGATAACAAATTAATTTATACCGATATATTTAATGAATATGTGAGTCTTGTATGAAAGTCTTGCAATTTTTTAATTATCACAATATATTATCTGAAATGTCACTTTACATATGTTTCAGAATAAAGCTGTAGAGACATACATTGAGGATTATCTTAAAAAAGTCATGCCACAATTCACAATAGATATTCTTTTACATCAGTTAAAGTAATTATAATATGTAGTTTCTGGATAGAAATTTCACTAACTTTTATCTAATAAACTTGTTATTTTTATGTTTGCATATGATAAATACCAGCGAGAAACAGGCAGAATTGGAAGGTGAAGTCTTTGAAGTATTGTCAACAATAACAGACTTTTTGGCTTTCAAGGAAATGTTTCTCGATTATAGAGCAGTATGTGAAATTGTTTAAATTATCTTTATTTTTTTTTATATGAATGTAATGAAACATTCTTTACAGGTAAAAGAAGGTAAAGTTGAAGATCTTAGCTGCGGAATAGCTATTACATCTTTGAAATCGTATAATGCAGGAGATTGCAATAAATCACCAAGATAATACATATCATTTTAGTATCAAAAGAGACATTTTCTAAGATAAAAATCGCATTAGAAAAATGTAAAATATAAGTCGAGCATTAAAAAACACACATGTATACATAATTTTCAATATTTATTAATGATTACATATGCAAAAATTTATATCATATTATGTATTTTTACAAATAGAAATACAAAAATAATTTAAATATCCTACTTAGCTTGTTTTGTAAACTTCTTTAGCAACTATATAATATATATAATTACATTTTTCGAAATATTAAATCCTGTTTTTGTTCTGTTATAATGCATATTTTGAAAATATGCGCAATCGTAATTTTTTTGCATCGTATTTAAAATTTAAAAAAAAACTTCCTCAAAAATATTTAAAAAATTCACATTTTTTTTAGTAATACACTTGCTGGTATAGTATTTTTAAATATTGAGATGAAGGATAAGCTTTACAAATTACATATAAAAGAGCATACTATCAATTTTAGTGCATAAGAATCTCCATTTGTACAAGCTTGCTGTTGGTCTCGTTTGGCATACGATATGGCAAGGTTCCCGCAAAACTCGTTAATGCTCGGGCTTGTTCTCTAAGATCATGCAACTGCTGATCTCTTGCGATTTCGTCTCCCGGCTCTACCGATCGCAATTTCTGATACTGACGATACAATATTGTCATAGTAGCCAAAAGAACATCGGCCAATGTACCAGCTACTTCAGGCGACACACGACGTAAAGCGTTCACTCTCTCATCGACTTCCTTCACATGAAGAGGTAACATCTTTGAATCTGCAATTGTCTAAAGAAAAAAAATGTATTATTCGTATTATTTTTTTTTTCAACTATCAAGTACTAGTCATACTAAATAATATGTATCAGGGTTGGCATGTTTTAAACAATGTGTTTAAAATTGTTTGATTAAAACTTGTTTAAAATAGTGCACACTGTAGTTTTCAAAAAAGTAGTTCTTAAAAAAAAAGTTCTTTTAAAAAGAAGAATTGAGGTTTTTTATTTTTCTTTTATTTATAATTTATGTTGAGAGTTAAGCATGAGGTTACTTAAGAATAGGAAAGGAACCAAAGTATTATATATTAAATATTATTAACTAAAACTTTTTTTTTAGAACTACTGACCTGCTATGAGTTATGTACTATTAATTTAAAATGCTAAAATGTAAAATGTAAAGTCAGTCAATATCTTCTAAGTAATCTTTGTATTGATTGTTATTTAATATCCAAAAATAAATATTCTGCTAAAATAATATCCATCTTATTATTTTTATTTTATTATTTATATTTTTAATAGCGTTGTCAATTTTGGCAACGTTATTTACAGTTTAACGCTAGCGAAAAATTTTTACACAGATCAAAGCTATTAAGTGTTTTTTGCTTGTTTAAAACATGCTTTTTTTGTTTAAAACATGTTTTTTTACTTTACTTAAAAACACAAATAAAACAAAAAACATGGTTCTAAAAAAAAAAACAATGTTTTTTGTTTAAAATTAAAAAAACAAGTTTTTTGCCAACCCTAATATGTATATATTTATTTATTTATTTTTGCTCTTTCTAAAAAATTATTTACTTAATTAAAGAATTACTTACTTTAAGTGCACTTTGATACTGTTCATTGTGAAATTGATCAAAGAAGACCATAAGATCTTTTAAGGTATAGAATGAAGATACCACTTCTGAAGGCGCTTGGATTACAATGTCTTTATATCTGAAAAGATTTACGATACAAATAGCAAGCTAAATTTAAAAATGTATTCACCATCTATTATATTGCACAGATATATAAATTTACCTTGTACCAATGTCCACAGCTGTGGCCTGTAATCGTGATCTGAGAGAACCAGGCAATCCCTTCTGACTGACAACTTGTGTTAAGAGTGTGCACATCAAACTGAGAACTTTTTCATGATTTCTAGCTAAATCATACATCAGGACTGCATCTTCCAGCAGACCTTTTCTATACAACGTTTCGGCGCAAATATTTATCACGTCGTCTGTATTAATTTGGAATTGATCCAAGATACCTGGAAGTCTTCGATCTTTGTCAAGTTTCCCTACCAACAACATGCGATTTGCGGGAGAGGCGTCCACTACCATTTCTGCGGCAGACGCGGCAAACATGTTGCGGTCGTACGGATCCTTCATACATCTAAAAAAAAAGAAACATCATTATTGACAAAAAATTTAGAATTTAACTGAATTGAATGATTTATAAACAATGATTTATAAAAGGATACTGAAAATTTAAACAATATTTATGATAGACTAATAAAGGTTGTCTAGTCTTTCTCTGTGTGTTGATGGAGAGGCTGACATGATAATCTTGACGAAGTGATTTCCTATTTCTCACGATATAATAGTTAACTAAATTACTGTACGTATATAACTTGTTGCCCATTTTTTATTTCAAAATCAATGTAATTTATTTTTTGTTTGTAATACTGGAAATAATTTTTTGTAGTTCACTCGAAAAGGACCAAAACCTATGGTCGAAACGTTGTGATTCTTTACCATCAATAAAATTGCCAGTGTGGTCGATTTTAATTACGTCTTTTATTTTATCTACTGGCGACTTTCAAGAATTTAATGTTATTTATAAACAATAATAAACACCTACCTCAATAGAAAGAGATAATGAAGACTTTCTTTTGGATCTGACGATTCAAATCTTTTAATGTATAACAATATCAATCTAGCGAAATTCAATCTTTTTGCTGGCGGTTTATCGGCGGGATCTACACTAATCAAAGGTGCTAAAACACTTTGACTGACAGCCAGTAAATTATGTTCATGCATAGCAGCTGCTAAATGGACCGCGTGCGGTAGATGCCTTGCTCCAGCGCCAGTAGCTAAAAACTCTATTGCCGCTTCGTATTGTCCGGTCAAGAATAGCATCGAGAAATACAAAAATGGCTGTTCGTGGGCGTGATAATAAGTTTCTCCTGAAAATTATGCCATTAAAATATACGAATCCTCGAATAAGAAGGAGTTATCAGCTATGTAAAAGTATTAGTATATATTTCTATACCATATATTTCTGAGATTGTAGTCTGTAAATAATCTAATGTCAGTTTATTCTCGACATCTGCCTGATATCTCACTTGGCACAGTTTTAGCCACAAGTAATCGTCGGCTGTGGCTATTACTTCGGAATGCAAATCATCCGGTTCGCAAGGAACCAACGCGCAATATGCCGCTCTCTTGTACAGGTCGCTGACAGACCGTACTTGCTTTCTGTAGTGTAATTTCAGAATGGACTCCGCACGACCGCTCGGATGATGTTGCGGATCATCGCAAGCTTCCTCGAGAGCTGTTTTAAATTCCGAGAATTCTGTACTACATTGATTCAGACACTGCAGCGCGGCCTTATAGTCTCCGGATCTCATGCAATAATATACTAGAGGCCACAATGGTTTGTCTTCGACCATAACATCTTCCAAATCCCTCAAATTTTGTACTTTGACGCCCACAAAACTCTTGACTAACGGAATAGTGCCTGGAATGCCGCCTCGTTTCGCCTGCACCAGATTTTCATTGATTATGGAATTCATAAAATCTCTATATCTATTCTCCAGATACTTTTTGGCTTGTAAAACAATTTTCTGTTCGATTGCAGGACTGCTTCTGGATTTAATTTGATCTCCCCTAGGTGTTGGAGGAATATCAATCATACATTTCACCATTTGCCATAAGTCTACAATCTTCTTGTCGTTAAATGATTCGGAGGCTTTGCAGAATGCGTTAAACAAACTTGGTCTTGTTATACCTCTAAGCACATGATCGTTATAATTCTGTAATTCTTTCACATATGCGACCTCTATGCTGGAGAGACCACTAATTATTGAACCTGCTAGTTTTGTACGCTGCGGTGCTCCACGTAAATCCACTAGCTCTCCGGATGGAGCAGTCATGGCATTTATTATCTCAAAACGCATTTGTTTCCATTCACCCAGCATATGTTCCATCTGTTGAGCTCTAGTGAGCTCAAATGTCTAAAAAATAGATTTAATGTCTTTTGTTGCACACAAATAAATACATGAATATTTTAATAATTATTATTGGGAGTGTGCATTAATTTTAAGGGATTTTTTGGTAAAAATACGGCTTTTTTGTGAAAAAATGGTTACAAATTGATTATTCAAAATATTGTCCATCGCTAGCTACCTTCCTCGCTAGCTTCCACTTCTTCATCCTCAAACTTTTTCACATTTTAAAATCAATGGAGCATAAGCTTCCGACAGCATTCGTTGATTTTCAGCAATCCTTTTCTTCAAATGGAAGCAAAAAAGCAAAGCTTCCCGCAAATTGTGGATTTTGTTGGCACAAAATTCGACATATTCAACGCTCAAAAAAATAATGTTTTACACTTCAACAAAATAACACATACTGAAAACTAAAGCCAGATATAGTACTAGTTAAGCCATCTCTTGAAAATCCCTTAAAATTAATACACACTCCTAATATTACATATACATACATCTTTGTGAACTTGTTCAATAATGGAAAGAATCGCATTTTCTTTTTCATTTCTAAGGTAACTGACAATGTCAGTATCCGCAATAGGATCTAGTGGCTCAAATGTGCGTCTTGCGCTAAGCGAGTTTAACTTCTGTGAGATTTGAGACAAGTCTACTCCTCGGGAACCAAGTAACACATGGCTGAAACGTTCATTTTCATAAATACATTAACAGAAATATAGAAGAAGAAATTATATTACACATATACAAAGAAAATTGACACGGAAAGCCACAAATTCGATGAGAAATCTTGAAGTAGACTCACGCCTGAGTTTCATTGTCCTGGGTGGCAGTTTGCGTAACACGGCACCACAGCTCGTTCGAAGCCTCCAATATCTGCTGGAGATTTCTATCGACATGCGGCATATCGTCATTTCCCTCAGCGGCTGCAGATATCTGCTCCGCCGACCTCAGCAGATCGCTGAAGCCGGAATCGGCCATCAATCGCGTGGTATCGATGGGCAACATTTCCGTGTGGCCAGTATCACCCATGTTCTAATAACATAAAAAAATCTTATTATCTCGTATTTTTTTACATTTTTGAGCTGGTTCAACGATAAAAACAAGTAATATTATGTCGACAAAATCCATAGACCAGAATCTTATAAATCACGCTGTATTTAAAAAAAAAATATCAATACTTTATTATTAAGCACATTAAGTATTAAATGATAAATATTAAGAAATATTAAGAATTAATATTAAATATAAATATTTTATTACAATATTTTTATTTTATTATTTGTTAACCTGGTAGAAAACAAAATATAATGTTTACCCCCTTCTACCGAAGGTAATTGCAGAACTGCCAGATCTGAAACTTATATAGTGCGTTCGAAAATTAGTGCGTTCGAAAATATGTTTGGTTGGTGTTGGGAAAAAAGATAAAGTTGGGAGTATTGAAAACTCCCAGTGTTAAGTTTCGTTTCTCCCACTGGGGTCATTAGAATTGTATTGTACCGTATGTACACTGCGCGACAACGATTCGTTCCGTGGCCATTCTCTCGCGGGGCAAGGGAAGCGTAGAAGTGACCAATCAGCTGGCAGCGTGGCAGTGGCTGATTGGTTAGAGGCTACGCTCCCCTTGCCCCGCGAGAGGGACCGTGGAACGAATCGTTGTCGCGGAGTGTACAATATATAAAAGTGTTGCAATTACATTAATTATTATTATGGAACAATATATTTTACTCGAAAACATCATTTTTGAATCTTCGAGTAGTTCTTGTTCAGATAGTGATGATAATAATGAAGAATTACAAAATATTTTATTCGAAAATAGAGGTAATAACAATAGAGGTGAAAGGAAAATGGTACCAAAAATAACAGATTATCTGGAAAATGTTGTTACCAAATATACAAATATTGAATTTAAATCACATTTTAGGTAAATTATGTCACTTCATTATAATTATAGCATTATTAATATAAAACACACGTTCGTATTAATAATAATATATGTGATGTTATTAAACATATTATTATAAAATATATTTAACTACTTATTTACCTCTTTTAATATCTCAAGTAGCAAATTTTTTTGATCCTAGTGATCCCAGTGAGAGAAACGAAACGCAGCACTGGGAGTTTTCAATACTGCCAACTTTATCTTTTTTCCCAACACCAACCAAACATATTTTCGAACGCACTAAATATGTTTGGTTGGTGTTGGGAAAAAAGATAAAGTTGGCAGTATTGAACACTCCCAGTGCTGCGTTTCGTTTCTCCCACTGGGATCACTAGGATTAAAAAAATTTGCTACTTGAGATATTAAAAGAGGTAAATAAGTAGTTAAATATATTTTATAATAATATGTTTAATAACATCACATATATTATTATTAATACGAACATGTGTTTTATATTAATAATGCTATAATTATAATAAAGTGACATAATTTACCTAAAATGTGATTTAAATTCAATATTTGTATATCTAGTAACAACATTTTCCAGATAATCTGTTATTTTTGGTACCATTTTCCTTTCATCTCTATTGTTATTACCTCTATTTTCGAATAAAATATTTTGTAATTCTTCATTATTATCATCACTATCTGAAGAAGAAGTACTCGAAGATTCAAAAATGATGTTTTCGAGTAAAATATATTGTTCCATAATAATAATTAGTGTAATTGCAACACTTTCATATATCGTATATACGATACAATACAATCCTAATGATCCCAGTGGGAGAAACGAAACGCAGCACTGGGAGTTTTCAATACTGCCAACTTTATCTTTTTTTCCAACACCGACCAAACATATTTTCGAACGCACTAAGTACAATTAGACACAACTGGCTTTGATTGGCAATCGTGCTTGATCGTGCTGGTCACCCTAATGACCAGCATCGGTCGATATAGGGTGCTTTCCAGCTATGGTAACACAGTGATACACTGTGTGACACAGTGTTACACAGTGTCAACTTGTAGCTGGAACGATTTTAGCTTTCTTATTTTGCCACTAGAGTGCAGGGCAGTCACTTTTAATAGTTGTCACTAGGTCTAAATTTTCAGAACGTTCCCACACAACATTATGTCATCTTAAAGACGTCTAGATGTCTTTAAGTCGTCTTTTTAGCGAATATAAAAGTTTGGTTATCTTCTATCACGCAATATCACGCAATACCATTCTTAAAAAAATTAATGATACCAAATATGAAATGTTATGTTGGCACTCACTGGGGTGCTACAAAACGACGACACAGGCGAACACAGCATTTTTGCTGTGTACGATTGTGTCGACTTGTGTCATAGTTGGAAAGCACCTGTATCAACACTGTAGCAACACAGTGTCGCCTGTGTTGCTTACTGGAAAGCACCCATAATTGGCTGTGTCTAATCGGGCAATCCCCGATGCACTAACTGCTGCATAAACGAACGCACCTTATAGTTTATGTGGCGGGGTGGCACCCGATTAACCACGTCGCCAATTGGCCAATTCAAAATAGGACTCTCTGATTAGTTAATCGTTGCTGGTTACCCTAGGCACAGGTCGATATAATTGGCTGTGGTCAATCGCAACGTGGTCAAACGGGAATACGCTCCCTATGTGGCGTACACTACAGATTTTCAGTACTGGCAATGAATTTTGGAACACAGCCCTGGTAGGAGAGGTTAAGTAATCATGTAAATAAATAAATTAATATAATTTATGCATATTATTTCTTATCTCATGGTTTTAATAAGTTTTCGAATAATTAACTTTTAATAAATATTTAATTAAACGGAAGCAATACAGAGCATTATTTCTAAGATTTAATTACTTTATTGATATAGCGTAATCCCAACCGCAATCGAGTTCACAACCCGTGATACGATTTTTACGAGATGTCAACCTGGCCACGTGCTTAATGATCAATATCAAGCGTGAGTCCGAAGAGAATTATTTCTTCACATATCTAGACACGTTCCACTTGTTTGCAATCCTGGGAAGGAATGTCGGATCACAATATTCACGCTTTCGCCTTGGAATAATAGATACGTTAACCTCCTTTTTCAGTAAATTATTTAATTTTCTACGATAAAGAATTGATATCATTCTTGTATTTTAAGGTCTCGATGATGGTAAATTAAGACAGATCGTTTATCTAAGTATATATATAAAATTTAAACAAGATGAATATCGAGAAACTTATCAAGAGGAAACAACATGCCAAACGAGACAACAATCTCTATCAGTTGGCCGAAATCACGAAGGATCTCGGAGACGTGTACTTTGAAAGTGAGCAACCAAAGAAGGCTCTGCAGGAATATACGGAACAGTTGAGCACCTGCGAAACATTGCGGGACAAGTTGAATTGTGCGATAGCCCATAGAATGATTGGAGAGGTTCATGCGAGCCAGGGAGACTACGAGCAAGCTCTGATACATCAAAATCTACATTTGGAGGGTGCCAGGAAAATGAAGAACTCGATAGAGGAACAACGTGCATTTGCCACTTTAGGTAGAACTTATTTCTGCCTAGCTGAAAGCCTGTCAGATCATTCGCAGAAACGCAAGGAGGCTTTGACGAATTCAAAAATGGCCTATGTCAATAGTATGGAGTTGTGTGATAAATTAACAATGAACGAAATCAAGCTAGAAGAGAAGATACTAATGCGAGCGAGATTACTGCTGAATTTAGGATTAACATTGGAAGCGCAGAAGGAGACGCAAGAGGCAATCGATCTGATCGAACAAGCCACTAAGTTGTGCGTATCGAATAATTTTCAGGAGGATTTACATCGAACGTGCATTTCCTTGGCAGCTATATATGAACGACAAGGCGATCATGAGCTGGCGTTGAGCTACATTGAAACCGCAAGCACTGTACAAGACGTACGCCTGAAAAACGAAGCGAAACTGTCCAAGATCGAACTGTTTATGCGGCTTGGAAAGTGGATTGAAACGCGTAAAATATTGATTTCTTTATACACGAGTAAGGGATTATCAAGGGACATGAGACATCAAGTGGAGAAATATTTAAGGATTATTGTAACTCTGTGTCGAGCAGAAAATAAGCTCCTTGTCGAGACTAATATTCAAGTCCAGCAACAATTGTACGAAACCTTGGGCGATGCGGCGGTTGCCCTGCAATGCTTCGACAAAGGTGCGGATTATTATCGACGTATGCTGACCTGCGCCGAGGAAACGGGCGAGCAAATAAGTATTTCCTTAGTAAGCCTCGCTCAAACCCTCAAGGATGCAGGGCGACCTAAGGAAGCCTTACCCTTCGCGCAGAGGGAACTCAGTCTCTGCACTAATCCTCGAGAGAAATGTAGATCGGCGTTATTTCTAGCAGATTTGTTAATAGGGACAAATGCTTCTGATGCGGAAATCCGGGAATGTTACACCATGGCTTTGGGTTCGGTGAACGAAAGCGACAATATTAAGCTGCAAAGATCTGTTGTGAAAGAACTCGTCAATTATTTGGAAAGCACAAACCAGTTCGAGGAGGCAAAGGGTATGAGGCAAGAGGCAGGATTATCGGATAAGATACCAAGCGATACGGAAAGCGAAGCAGCCTCCGAAGAAAGCGATCAGATTGGCGCGGATATCTGTTTGGAGGAGCTGTCCGATCTCGAGGACGAGATCGAAGGAAATATCAGGAGGACGACTAAGAGAAGGGTAGGAACGATCAAGAGAAACGCGAAGGGAGAGACCCAATTGCACGTAGCGTGCATTAATGGGGACATTGGGGCTGTCGAGAAACTCTTATCCTCTGGGCATCCTACGAACGTTAGAGATCACTGCGGTTGGTCCCCTCTTCACGAAGCTGCGAATCACGGCTACGTGGATATCGCGGAATTGCTCCTGAGACATGGGGCGAACGTGAACGATCCGGGTGGCATGTCCTGCAAAGGAGTGACCCCGCTTCACGATGCCGCTTGTTGCGGGCATTTTTCGATGATACAGCTGCTGATACAACACGGGGCGAATGTGAAGCTGAAGACTCACGACAGAGACACGGTGTTGGATTGTTTAAACGATTGGAAAGATCGAGTGGGAGATTTAAGTCCTGAAGATTTCGTAGAATACGACACGATATGTAAAAAGCTTTCCGCCTTCATTCCGGTAAAGAAGAAGCGAAGAAGATCGAACAACGCTCAGATATCGAATAAGGAGTCTCACTCAGATAAAGAGTCTGAGATTGACAAAATATCTGCTGGTGAAGATTATAAGAGAACGATAGCGAATCTGAGGTCTTTCAACAAAGTTAACACAGTTGCATTCAAAAGCAGTAATGACGCGCCTTTAGTCAGCGAGGAACAGGTTCTCATCGACGATTGGCTGGAGGATGATATCGGTAGTATAACGAAGAAGAAATGTACGTCGAATAATTATATTCCTACAGGCAAAAGAAAGTCCGATGAAGACATAGAAGGTACTACGAAGAAATTTAAGCAAAGATGTACGCTTCAAAATGAAGAATATCTAAATACAAGCGAGGACAGTGATGAAAGTAGCGTTGCTACCGAAATTATTCAATTATCCAAAATATCCAAAAGAGTTAAAAGAAAACGACAGACTTCCCTGATAACGAATGGATTTACCGTGTCTCGTTCACCGTCCCCTATGATTCATGAATTGCAATCATGCTCGCGTACTCCAGCTTTTGAACAACAACATGATGCAGAATACATACATTTACGTGTACTCGTTAAGGAAGATGCGTTTGACCTAAAAGTGGCGGTTTGCGAAGACGAGGGGGAATTTCTTAACTCTATCCAAACTTCTGTAGAATCAATGTTCTTTCGTGAAACTGCTTGCACGGCCAAATTATTGTTGCGACCAATAAACGGAGACGTAACGGTCACGAGGGAGAGTATCTTGAAGGTTGCAACGGAGGAAAACGCTAGACTAGAATGCGAGGTGGTTGAACTGAGGATACCATCCATCGTCGAGCGATACAGGACCATCTGCGATATTTACAGTTCGAGTCCCCGGGAGAATGTGTTGAGCTGCTTGAAATCCTGCGAAAATACGTCCATACTTCGCACGAGACCCGACGATATCTCCAAAGAACTTATTGTGCCGTTATTGAAGACTTTGGGGTATCAGAGGAACGTTACACTGTTGCAACTATCAGGCACCGTTCTGGGAATGGCTGGAGCGCACTTGTACCGGTGTCTCTCGAGTCTCCCATCCTTGCAGGAGCTCCATTTAAAGGGCTGCGACATCGACTTTGCCTGTCTGCGTGAAATAATCTCATTGCCGCCCCAGTTGAGGATCCTCGATTTAAGTTACAATCCATTATGTTCGGAGAGTCGCGACGTCCTCAGGGACCTAATAGCGTCCCTAAAATACTTGCGGGTCCTCAATTTGCGCTACTGCAAACTAGAAGACTTTCATCTTCCGCTCAACAATCCTAATCTGACAAGTTGCGACATTTCATGGAATAAATTGAGCCGCGATGCGACAAGTTATTTCTCGAATAAGCAATTGTTCGATTTGAATCTATCCAACATCACTTGCTCCGACAAATTTGTCTCGAGTTTAGTAGCGGGTACAGTTCTAGCGTCAAACTTGGAGTCGCTAGAACTCTCATTTTGCGACATAACAGATTCTGATGTAAAGATTATTCTAGTATACTTGCCTAAACTCTCGAGATTAATACTTCGCGGAAACACGAATGTAACTGTATCGTCTATAAATATATTATTGTGTCGTCGACCTACATTAACTTACATCGATGTTAGTGGCTGTAAAGATATCGCGAGTAATCCGGAGGAGGAATTAATTATACAAAATCCCGAGGTTTGTACGTTACTGGTCAACATGGAACCGAATTTCTGTGATTTATGGATTAAACTGTGGCGCGGTGCAGGTACTGTAATAAAATTGCCTCATAATTTAGCAATATTTAAACCAATAAAACCTTTTGTCGGAAATCCTTAAAATTTGATTTTGATACAATATTGATAAATATAATTTATATATATCTATATGTAATAAGTTTGTACATTTTGTATATATTTGTATACATCACACATGCGCGTATACATATATATATATGTATATATGTATATATAAAATTATTAATTTTATAAATTATTATATAATTTTTATATAATTATATGAAAAATTTTTAAAATTTTTAGATATATTTTTCAAATAATTTATCTCGTAAGAAAATATAATTTTTATACAATAATCCTCGTAAGATAATAAATATTTGATACATAAAAAAACAGAATTTTAGAATTCTCTTAAAAATATAGATATATTATATCTCCTTACTTTATTTACGCGTTATTTCTATCATTTCTCAAATGAATTTTATTTTTACCCTCGATTATTCTCATTGAGAAGATTTATCGAGACAACTTCTGGAGAATAAATAAATCCATTGTTTTTTATTTGATGACAGCGACGTATCCTAAGTATGTCACATAAAATGAAAATATATGTGAAAAAATTAAATGATAATTTACCTTCATTTACATCATAGGTTACAATTTAAAATAGATTTTATAAAGTTTAATTTATAGATTATTTATTTCAGTCCAAAAGAGTAACATTTATTTCCAATTTTGCATTGTATCTCTTTGACATGTATATAAGTATCTTCCACATTTTCTGCTAAATATTTGTTTAAACTGCAAGTAAGAGATGGTAGAATTTTTTTCAAATAGGTTTGTTTGTCTCCAAGACACCAGAAGAAGCTAATGTGGTATGAAATATCCTGTGTAAGAAATAAATAAATAAATTGATAAATACACAGATATATATAAATTCATGTATTAATTAACTACTGATCATTCACTGCAATCTTATTGATTTGTAAAAAATGATAAAACTTGTTTTGTGCACTACATTGCGTCTAAATACATTTTTTTCTTCATGATAAAATATGTCAGTATAACATATTTCTCTGCTATACTTATTAATGTGTAATTCAATTCATCAGTCCTATATATTTCCAACAAAAAAAAAATAAACCTTAGATACTTTTTTATACAGATTTACTAATTTTTTAAAGTTTTTGCAATTTTAGCATATATTTTATCAATTTACTCTCTTAAATACGAATGCTATATGAAAGATATAATTTAATTTAATAGTACAAGAAATTTCCATAATATTTTGTTCCTAACATGTTTGCAATGAGAGATCAGAATTTCATAATTATAAGTAAATAAATTAAAGTATGTCACATATTATAAGTAAATAAATTAAAGTATATACTTAATTTAAAAAGGTAGAGACATAATTTTATGTACCTCATAAAACGATGGCAATTGATATTCAGCTAGTAAACAGTCAATAGCATCTGTTAGATGCTTCAATGTACCATCCTCATTTTGACAGTAAATTCCAAGAAATGTGCGAGTTTTCTCCTCGTTGCAGTACATTTTCACATCTGTGAGCTGCACAACAAATGGATGGAATCCACTGCACAACAATTTCAGACTCTCCACGAACGATTCAATCCAATGAAACTTTAGGACCAAGGTACGACTCAGACTAATATGAAGATTAGAAATAATCTCACCTTGGACCGGCAGTTCATTCAACATAGATTTCATCCAAGTATGAAGGCAATCGCTGGTAGTATCTGAAATAAATTCGAAACCTTTCTATATTTTATTTGGAAGATTTTTCTAAGTGATCATGTGTAATAATTTTCAAAATCATTCAGCAATAATTAAGTACATTAACATCTTGATTTATTATTATTAATTAATGTTAATCATATATATATATATATATATATATATATATATATATATTAACATTTACTTTTTATTATATATATATATATATATATATATATATATATATTTATATTTATATTTATATTTATATATATAATTTCTTATATGTAATTTTTTTATTTCAAAGAAATATATATATATGCACACACAAATATTAACATTTACTTTTTATTGCCATAGCCTTGTAATCTTCCTCACGTGGACAAATGAAATTATCCCGCCAAAAGATATCTATTCCTTGACCTCTTTGAAGTTTCAACAATTGTTCTATACATACCTTTGGTGCCTGAAAGGAAAACGTAGTTAATACAATAACACAACACAATTTTATCTAACATACATTAGAGCTTATCTTTTACAATTTTAACGACATTTAATGTGCTTTATATTAAATTAGTTTATGTTCAAATATCATAAAATATTTATTTTTTTTAAACGATAAAACATTTATGTATATTTTTCTTTTCAGTCAAGTCCTCGCAATAAAATTTTTATTTTTTGTATAACAAAATAATGTTCAATTTTTTCGATTTATTTAAATATATAAATTTCATATAATCCAAGTATTTAAATTAATCAATTAATTTAATAATCATAGTTTAAATTTTGCATATTTTGACAATATTTAAACACTAAGAGAGAAAAAAATATGTTATTTTCAATCTTGCTTTGTAAAGATTATGCGACTAAAATACTGTATACGTTATCTTTCTTTTGTAAGTATAATGTGGCTACTTACTGCAGGATGTCGTAAATTAATAACTCGTTCCAAAGCAATAAACAATATATAAGCGGCAGCACTTAGTGAGCTAGCAATCCCAAAAACAGAATGAGTGACAGGAATACCTTTCCGCAAAATGGAACTATCTTGAATGTCATCAATTCTATAAAAAAATAAAACAAATTATAATATTAAGAATATATAGAAAATTGCACTTTTAATATATAAATTTAATTTTATCCAGGGTTGTTATGTTTTAAACATTTATATTTAAAACAAATGTTTAAAACATGTTTTAAACATTACATCTAATTAAATACAATTTTGTTTTAAACATATTCAAAACAAGTGTTTTAAACATGATTTTTTAAAAATATGTTTGATTTAAATATATTTTTAAAGCATGTAATTAAGTTATTAAATAATTTTAATATACATGTATATTGTAATAAAAATTTCACTTATGTATGTTAAAAACATTGATATATATTTCATATATATATACATTACAGAAACTATCATATATTGATAAAATTAAAGTAACATTTACATTAAAATAAATATTATTTCTAATCATCATTTAGAATTATACTGTTTGAATTTAAAGTTCTCATAATGGATACCAGTTTGGCTTTTTCTGTTCCTAGCCTATTGTGTATTTTATTGTGTACTAAGCTGAAAGTAGAAAATAATCTTTCAATACCTGCACAGGATGCAACAGTTATATATATATATATATATATATATATATATATATATATATATGCAGTTGCATAGATAAATCAATAGCATCATTTATACTGCTTCGAAGAGCATATCACCATAACGCTGGATTGTTTATATTTTGAATTAAAAATAAATATTTTTTAAATGGTAAACTTTGTGCTTGATATAAGATTATAAACGGCATTGCTTTAGGATATGCAGCTGCATATCCTAATGCTTCCTCCTTGATTTTGACTTAATTTGTGACTTAAATTGTGACTGTAACTCATATAGCACAGAAGCTTGCACCAACATTGCTGCAATGTTACAACATTGTACATTGCAGTGTAATGCTGCAGAAATATTGCAGAGATATTATCCCCAATAGCCAAGCAGATCTTGTCAGGGAATCTGTTACAAATTATTGTCGACAGAAAGATTACAGAATCGATGCAGGTTCTGATATATCATGTGATGTCGGCAGAATGTCAACAGAAATATAACAAAGCTTGTTAACATAGTCAGTTACCAGATTGGCAGCAAAAATCGAACAGATTCTGCCGGCATAACTTAGTGGCAGATTGGTGGCAGAAATTGAACAGGATCTGTGCAATGCAATTTGACAACAGATTGTCGGCAAAAATCGAGCAAGATCTGCGCATACAATCTCTGATAGCAGATTGATAGCAGAAATGGAACAAGGTTTGCATGATTCGATAGTTCCTTCACTTACCGCTACGTGAGCTGTACTTTCTCGTAATTGAATTTCTGTCAGAAATATATATAAAGTCGCGAATATGAATAAAAGACTAAAAATATAGTAATTATCATTTTAATTTCTATCACTTTAATTTCTGATATCTGATACAAGCAAATGAGAGTCGGAATATTAAACTGATTGGAATCAATATGATAAATGAAAAATTATTCATGTACTGCCTATTTGAGGTATAAAGCAAGAATTTAATTCTAAATATAATAAATTACATCTCAAGTTTTACAAGTTACATTTACTTTTATCATTTACTTTATTATTAATTTAATTAACTTGAATCAATCCTTCGCTATATGAGATATAACTACGATATACATAACATATTACATATATGTTATTTTCTAAGAAAATTCTAATTAACTTGCCGATAATATTGTTATTTAGCACTTGTAATAATTAATTTTGTTGCATTTATATAACATAATAAAAGTAAGCGCAAATCTTGTGCAGTTTCTGCTGTCAATTTGCCATCAGATTGCATGCGCAGATTCTGATCGGTTTCTGCTGACAATCTAACATCAAATTGCACGCGCAGATCCTGCTCGATTTCTGATATCAATCTGTTGTCGGTTTATGCTGACAGATTCTGCTAGCAGAACCCAAGCTTAATGCGGACGCAGTTGATGCCAATCTGCCGAAATATTCTGTTCGAATCTGCTCGCATGCTGCTGGCAGACTGCTAACATTTTGCTTACTGGGATTTTGTAATATTACTTTGGCAATATTGCAGCATTATTTTAGCATAATGAAATTGTATAACATGTATTTCTTTACTTGCCGCTACGTGGCTTCACTAAACTTAACTAACTCGTATTCGAATTTTCATCTAAATATCTGGATATATTTCTTGTCTTAAATCGGTTTAATTTCTAATAAATTGACTTGATTTATTTAATATTCTGAATTCTGATAAGGGATCTAGATTATTAAACAAATAATTTATTTTTAATAATTTAGATTCCTTGTTGGGATTCAGAATATTAAATGGATTATTAAAAATTAGGCGAATAAATTGGAGAAATAGTCCATTTAGTGTGTGTATTGAAATATTCCTGCTACCGAATGTCTATATAGAAATCAAGTCATGTTTTAGTCATCATACGGACAAGACTAAAATGTCACTGAATTCGAATCATGAGACGATTTTTAGCTATCTTTCCATTGACTTAAGGGGTTATACCTAGTCAGCAAGTCGAAAAAAACGTATTTTTGGGGAATTTAAAAAAAACTGTTAGGTATTTTTATTTCATTGATTTTTTATCATAATATATATCTATCAAAGAAGTTTTCATAATTTTTTCAGTTAAAAATATCAAGAAATGTAGGCACAATAGCTATTTTCCAGAGACATCTTTTTTCGGCGGCGCTTGGCGGTGAACAACCCAGATAGCACAAAGGTGAACATAAGTTTCATAAGGAAATCATTTTAAAGAATACTTGTAGAATTAGAAAAATGAATATCTGAAGAATTCTTGAAGAATTATTCGTAATCAGTTCGTCTGAAATATTCTTTAGTGAAATATTCTTTATAAATTCATTTTAATGAATACTTTGCGACAGTACTATGAATACTTTGAGAATTTATAAGGAATTACTTGTTATTTTTCCACGCATGCGCGAGACTGTGTATGTTCGGTTCGGACCTTATCTTGTAATTTCGTGCAGTGTGCAGTGTGCTACATGTATTTTGCAATAAAAAGGTGATAATATATTTATATATATATTATATCGTGATAATATATTTATATATATTATATTTATATATATATATTATAGATTACAAAAGCACAGTGCTACATAATTATATTAATAATTGGGTGTTATTAAATGGTAAGTATTAGTTGAACTAAATATATTCCTACTACCTAACCTCGAAATAAACGCATGCAGTCTTTATTTTTGTTGTTTATTTATTCAGTAAACAAACTGTTTTAGTTGGTTTGCCAACAGAGTCAATCAAAATCTCTATCTATTGATAAATTTGGATAAATATTTGTCTGCATGTAGTTCATGTTCTTTCAACAGGCGATTTCTGATTATATGAACAAACTTCTATTATATGTTCATATATTACTTTTATATAGAATGTCTTATTCCTTTAGTCTTTCTAATGTATAATATAATGTTATATAATTTCATATATATATTTTATTACAGATTTAAGTCAGAAGTAAGATCAAAGTCACTCACGTATCACAATAAAAGTTTTAGACGAAACTGAAGAATAACCAACTATTATAGAAAATAAAAGTAAGTTACCCAGATAGTAAAATCGGATAAAGCACGTTTTGCAATTTATGTGCTGCATACTATGTCAATAGAATGCTGTCAATATTCTAGCAAAATATGCCGTTTCAGTTAATGTTTTCAGAAACACAGCAAAAGTTGAGCATAACGTGCGTTACGATGTAATGATAGAAATGCAGCAGAAATAAAGCAGAGTTTTACCAGCATAAATAGAACAATTCAATGCTGGAATAATGTGTCGGCAGAATGCATACTGAGAGTACGCGTAATCTGTTGTCACAGTGTAATAGCAAAATCTCATCAGAAATATCAAACTTATGCAAGCACGCTATGACCGCAGAAACACAGCAGCAATGCAGCATGCTCTGCTGTCATACGATGACATTTAATTTTTAAAATACAGGATCTGTGCGACGCAATTTGACAACAGATTGTCGGCAGAAATCGAGCAGGATCTGCGCACAATCTTTGATAGCAGATTGATGGCAAAAACGGAACAGAGTTTGCATGATTCGATAGTTCCTTCACTTACCGCTACGTGAGCTGTTCTTTCTCGTAATTGAATTTCTGTCAGAAATATATATAAAGTCGCGAATATGAATAAAAGACTAAAAGTATAGTAATTATCATTTTAATTTCTATCACTTTAATTTCTGATATCTGATACAAGCAAATGAGAGTCAGAATATTAAACTGATCGGAATCAATATGATAAATTGAAAATTATTCATACTGCCTATTTGAGGCATAAAGCAAGAATTTAATTCTAAATAAATTACATCTCAAATTTTACAAGTTACATTTACTTTTATCATTTACTTTATTATTAATTTAATTAAATTGAATTAGTCCTTCGCTATATGAGATATAACTACGGTATAACATATTACATATATGTCATTTTCTAAGAAAATTCTAATTAATTGCCGATAATATTGTAATTTAGCACCTGTAATAATCCATTTTGTTGCATTTATATAACATTAATAAAAGTAAGCGCAAATCTTGTGAAGTTTATGCTGCCAATTTGTCATCAGGTTGCATGCGCAGATTCTGCTCGGTTTCTGCTGATAATCTAACATCAAATTGCACGCGCAGATCCTGCTCGATTTCTGCTGTCATATCATGACAGGCACACTGTGCTTCATTTTTGCTGCATTTTTGCCTTCATATCATATTGGCATATCGTGTTGGGAAAAAAGAAACTTAATGAGGACACAGCTGAGCGATATCTGCTGCAAATTCATGATTGAATCTGCTGTTATACTGCTGGCATACTGCTAGCATTTTGCTATCTGGGTTATATTTATATGCATTAATTAAATTACAGCGTTTAATATAAGTTGTTTATTATATTACATATACAGGGTGTCTGCTAAAACGCGGCAAAAATTCAGGAGGTGATTTATTGGGTTATTTTAAGACTTTTTTGTTAT